AGCTGCCTCAGTTGACCAGCTCTAGTTTTACCACTGTTCCAAGCTAATCAACCCTATGGAGTTTATTTTTTCCATCATGCCACCAATGCCATGCTGCAGCTTGTTTTTAGGGGAAGCTTTGTTAAATGAGAGCAGTCTGGCATTATACACCTCAGGTCTCTGTCTGAACTCTACTGTGTTCCTCTGAGAATGCCATATGTGTTGTATCCAAGGGGATTCAAGTGTTGCATGAAAATCAATCATTTCCAGGAAGCAGGTTCTCTGCCTAGAACTTCAATAGGCCTGATTCTTCACCCTGAGAGAGCACACTGAGTGTGTCTACGTGTCAAATTAATGTGGCTGAATAGACTCCTCTGCAGCTCATGCCTGAGTTTATTGCTCCTAGACACAGCATTTACACATGCACATTGAGCTGGGGCAGAGAAGTCCCAGGTGGCAGTGGATCCAGGGGGTCTGCCTGCTAGCCTGAAGCTGCTCCCCCTGAGCTCAACATGCTGCAGAGGGGCTGACTTGGGCATGTGTGGGGCTAGTGGGCAGGCAGAACCCCACACTGTAGTACCCTTGTGCCCCAGCCAGCCCCAGTTGCTGTCTACATGTGAGTTGCAGTGGAGGAAACTGCCATAGGATAGTACTTGTGTCAGGTTGTACTAACATATGGAGGAATTAATTAGTTTACTCTGGCCTAATAGCTCTACACATGGTGACAGTGATGCTTTATGCAGAGCTAATTAGGCAACTGTATTAAGCGTTTTGTGTAGATGCTCCCACTCTCTCACTCAGAAACTACCTTTGGAAGAGAGATTTGTCCTGAAAAGGAGTATAAGACCATAAAGAACACAATACTTGGTCAGACCAATGGTCCATCTAGTTCAATAACTTGTTTCCAACAGTCACAAGTAGAAGATGGTTTAGGAGAAGAGTATATGAATGGGGCACTCCTAGAGTGATTCATTTCCTGTCATGCACTCCCTTAGCATCAACCATAATTAGTTAGGGAAAAACTCCAAGCACTCCTCACAATTCAATGAGCTTTTTTAAAATGACAGAAGGAATAGCTTGTAGGTTAGTCTACAGACAAACAAAGAAAAAGATGGTAGAGATGAAACTAAGAGTGGTAGTTTGTTCAGCAAGATTGCACAAAGACAAATGGGAATGGAAATAAAGAGTAAGAATAGCAAAGCTTACACCATGTTGCATTGTCCTCCAGATAGTCCTCTGGGAAGCAAGGGGAAAACAGATTCAGGGAACAGAAAAAAACAACAGGTTATACTGAACAGGTAACTACTTTGAAGAGCATTCATCTTCATGAGCAGTCCCTTGTAAATGTGAATTCTTAGACAACACATTTCCAAAGTAAAAAAAGTGAACCCCACAGCAGAACTCAGATATGGATGTTCGGTGACTCCATAAGTATATTTGGTGAGCTTTAAGTCAAGAACATGTCAACATACTTTCTGATATTTCATTTTCACATTCCCAGGCCTTATACTTGTTTATTTGCTATTTGTTAAAATGCCACTGGATGCAGCTAATTTAATAGTACATGATTCACCCTGCACATGTCTATATGATAAACTTACCATGCCAAGCATAAGTGTCCTCACATATACCATGATGCTCCACGTGGGTTGCCTCCTAATTAGAAGCAGTGTAGGTGTTATGGCCTCGTGGGTTGGCAAATTAGTAGTGTTGAGTAACAGGGATAGTTATCCTGCCTGCATACTAATTAGCCAGCTTGCAGTGCTATGTGGATGCTCCTGGCTGCTGCCTAGCCCTGTAAGTGTGCCACATAGACATGAATTGGCTTCTGTTTTAATGAAAGTAGTGGATGCATCAAATAGGTTAAGTCAAAGAGAATGGGACATATTTTTCAAAGAGCTGTGCACCTAACAGCTTATATTTAGAATCATAGAAAAGTGTATGACATTTAGTCACTTAATGGAAGCTGTTTGGAGCTTTATTGTTTGGAAAATGCTATCTCTGAAAGGGAGCTGAGCTTTATTGACAATCTTGCCCCCAAAATGGGCACCAAGTACTTTTGAAAATCTGGGTCACTTTATGCAGTTGTACATGCTTAAAATGCAAAACATTTTGTTCTGAAAACATACTGTTACACTGTTCCTCGAATTAAACCAGAATTGTTTGTCACTTTACTTCTTAGATTCTATGTAGCTTTACATTTGGACTTTGTTTTGATATTTTAAAGTTAAATGATTTGACAGTATGTTGAAAATGAAATCTTAAAGACAGGTTAGTAAAAGCGTCAGTCTACTATTGAATAGGTATGTGTAACACAAGAAAAAGCTGATGCAAAAGAGACAGATATTCCTAGATTTCTGTTATTTTTTATATTGTTTGGGAAAAAAAACGATTTCAAAAGAAGCTTGATTTGTGGTATGCTGCGATCCAAACAATATGTCACACTGTTGTTCTGCATTCATATTAATTAAATAATTGAGAGAGAGCATCCCACAAACTGGAAATCATCAAATCATACATTTTAGCTGCTTACAGACATTAAAATCCCCAAAAACTGGGACTTTACTTTAAACTCGGTGTCCACGCCAAGCCCAGTGCATGCCCAGAAGAGGCATCATGTTAGTTGGACCTGGCTCGCTCAATGTCTATATAGATCTGCTGCTTGAGTGGGGCTTTTCTGGCTGATTGAATAAGCTTTAGAGCAAAAGCATCAAAAGCCCTGCTGAAGTTCCTGATCTATACAGATATTGTGTACCGCTGTTACTTTTGGTAAAGTGAGGCTTTTCTTGTCTTCTTTTAGCATCTGTAAGCAATGTAAACATTTTGTTCAGGTATATCAGTCTTTTTTGTGATAATATTTTTTAAAAAAGGAACACTATTAAAATATTTCTGGGAAACTTAAACTATCTGGTTTACGATACAGATAATGATCCTTTTACAAATACTGCTGAAGTATTATAATTCTGGAATAAAACCTTATAGATCACTAACCTACATTAGATTCACAAGTCCTGCTAAAGTCAGTGGCAAGCTCTCACTTCAGTGGGTGTTGGACTGGGTTCAAAAGGGGGTAACACTTACATTACTGTTATTTCTAATTACACAGGCAAAGAACAGTTTACAATCAAATGTCACTAGGAAGAAGAGTCTTTATTTAGATGTAACGCTTTTTCAAGTGAGAATGGTAATAATAAAGTTGTTCTTTGTTAAGAAATCAGATCTGGTCAAGTACCTTCTCCACTGAATGTCAAGGAGGATACTAGGGTAATAAGGTTCTGTCTGCCTTGGAAGTGTGCCTTAGTTACAGCCATTGAGGAAAAAAAAAAGCTGCTACTGCATGACTACTGTATTTACTATGTACAATAATTTGTTTTTAATTACTAGAAGATATAAATGGTTCTAGTGGTAATCTTATTACACGCATAAGGAATGCTTCTGAAATGTTTAGTGGTCAAATACCTTACCTGTTCTTAAGTACATAGCAGTAGTTTCACTACCAACTTGACTTAACTTTTCCCTCCAGTCACATCCTGTGCCTTAATTCCAATTCATCCTAAGCATCCTTTGGCTTTCATGTGCCTTCAGTTAGCTATAGCCCAGTTCTATATCTGTATCAATGAAGCTACACAGAATGTAAGACTGGGAGTATCAGGCTAAGAGTTAAATTCTGATCTCACTAAGACAATTATATTTTTGCCTGTGCCTTCAATGGGATTAGGATTGTACCCTAAGCCCCTAGTTGAAAGCGGTACTTTTTAAGATGTTACTTTTTAACACATAGTACTTTTTAACTTTTCATTGCTCTGGAAAGATAATAACAACCTATCACAGAAACAGAAACAAAATATACTTCTATTTTATAGGAAAACAGGTTTCATTTTTATCAGAAGTAATGAACACCAAAAAATGTTTATTTCTGTCATTACAGTGTAGGAGAAGCCCATGTCTTGACTTGAAATGTCATGTGTATTCTTTAACTTAATTAAAATGAAGGAGTAAGATCCATTATGGATATAGACCATAGGAAAGACTTGAGTGCTAATTTAATTAGTAGCTAGTTAAAATGATTGTATGAAGTAGAAAGCTTGATCTTGACTTGAAGTAGAAGCATATTACATTTTCTTATTAAATATTAAAACTGATCTGTGCATCAGGAACCAGCTCCAACCAATTTAAGCTTATGATTCTCATTTTATGATTTTAACTAAAATGTATGAAATAAGTCACAATAGGCATGCTGTACAAGCATTCAGCAAGTGGTTTAGCAAGCTGAGGTAACACAATGCAATCAGCTTTGGTTCAGGTGCTTTATAACACTAATGTTTTTATCTGTTAGCTTTACATCAAGATAAATGCTGAAGCAATATTAACAGCGCATTAATAATTATTCATCTGTAAAACTTTAGGTGCATAAATAGCAGGAACACTGAAGTGTGAGATAGGAATCCACTGACTTGTTCTAACTAGAATAACCTTACATTAAGAGGATTGTTTTTAAATGACTGAAAAGTAAAGCACAATTAGTGAATAGTGAAGTTCAAGCTGATCAAAATTCTGTTTCTAAAACCGGTGTACACAGAGATGGTAAATTTACAAATGGCCACATTAAGAAAGGAACCATAGCAGATTAATGAGAAATGTACCATCATAAATAATATGTACTTATTGAAAAACTGGCTGTTGAATTAATTTAATATTTAATTTGATTTAGATATTTTTTTCAAAGGAAGATTCTATTGAAAAGTGCTTTCTTTGATTCATCAATCTAATTCTTGACTTGTGGGATTGATCCTGTCACCTCTCATGTTTAATATGTCAAACTGAGTCCTATTTGTACTTATTTCTTTGATGTTCTCAATGAAAAAAGACATTGGCTTATTGTAGGCTTTGCAAATTCTACATTGTAACTATATCCAGTAATAATCAAAATATTAAAGATTGTTATAAGTGCATTTTCCAAACAAATTCTCTCCATCTCTGCTAGCACAGTATGAAAAGACAGTAAATGTTCCATTACTTACCAGTCTATCTAAACTCGTGCCCGCTGCTGTTGTTGGCCTCTCCTCTGGATTGTATGGCCTGAAGCGGGTATTGAAGTTCTCAGGAACAGAGCGGGAAGACCTTAAAGCAGGTGCTGGTTTAGGTTGGCCACATCCTTGAAAGACCTGAGAAAAATGTTTTAGATTATAATCAAACTTCACAGAAAAAGACTGATTACAAGTGTAATTCAAAGATTTTAAGCTTCAGTTTTCATTGACTGATTACAAGCTCAAGACTGATTACAAGCTCATTCAAAGATTTGAAGCTTCAGTTTTCATTGATATCCTGGTAATAAATATGAGTCCTGCATAGAAAGTCAACTTATCATTATAGGAACTATTTGAGAAATGAGTATTAATAAAGATACTTATACCTTCTGGTTATAAATTTAAACCTATTTCATTGTGGCTAAAAATTAAATACAGTTTGACATTCTCTCTCCTGAATAAGAAACAATGGAAGAAAATTATTTTGTGGTTGGACTCAGGTGAAGTTAAAGTTATGTTAAGGCATGACAATTACGTGAGTTTTCAGCACATCCACCATTGCCAGCAATCTTATGAATGGTCTCCAAAGTGAGCACAAAAGCTGAACCATCTTATAAAGAGATTATCTTTTCAGGTTTTAAATGGTTTCTATAGACAAAGGTTGAGGCACATTAACTGCACAATCATGAGAACTTTGTTCTACCAATTGGTGGTTCCTTAGCTTAAGACAACTCTCAGGAGTGTTTGTCTGGCATTTACATAATCACTGATTTTCAACTTTCTTGTATAGTTTGAATGGAAAAGGAAAGCACCTGGAACCCCACTCCCTCCACCACAACAGCCTATAAGCAGCATGCTTTAAACTATGCATGCTGATGGAGAGCACCAAGGACGCTACTGAATGCCGGTTGAATATCTGCATGTGAAGGAAGCTGGATTGCAAATTTGAAAGCCTCCAGTTAAACATAGTGAAGGAACAGACACTACATTTTAAAATGAGAGCTATGGAGGTTACATAACACAGGTTTTGGTGGCTATTTTGACATCAAAGGCAAGAATTACCCACAAAAAGAGCAGAGAGTGATCCTTCTCAACTTATTAGGCCACCATGAAGTAAAACATATAGGAGTAGGCTTAATTCTTAGCATGCAAGAAATTATGTTTTTGTTTAAATAGCACATAAGCAAGATGATGTACTAAATAGAGATGAAAAGTTCTAAGCGCTTTTCTGAATCGGGACCTTAGAGTTTATCTGTTGAGCTTCTTAAATTAACACAGGGCTTTATAAGCTGAAAATAAGTATAACCATATTTGTGGCATAGGATGCAGTTACAAAGACAAAGTTGGTATGTATGGCTTGATGCATAAAGTATACCAAAAAAGCTGACAACATTTCAAAAATTCTTTTTTATGGGATGATTGTTATAAACCACCTAATGACATTGATGGTTCAGCTTCTACTTGTGGATGCATTTTTATCTTAAGTAAATTCTCACAGAGTAAATGATGATACCCTGATTCATGACTTTTGTCGCTTTTAGGATTGAACACAATTATTTTTTGGCCATGTTTCCTGATATATTAATTTATAGATTATAAAAGGTGCAGAAATTCCTGAAATAAATTGACTTATGTTAAATAGTGTCTAGGCATCAAATTTGCTTTGTATTCCCTTAATTGGCTGAAAGTTAGCCATTGCATTGTCTCTGAGGTTCTTTAATTTATGCTTGAAATATTCTTGGTCTGGTTCCAGAGTATCTGTAGGATTTTTTTGCTTAGTTCCTAACCTCCATCATTATGAGGGGAACTAGTCAATACCTTCTTTCCATTGCATGAGATGGCTGCTGCGTACTTAAAGAATTTTAAGTTATTGAGCAAAAAAGAACTTTTCTTTCCTCCAGCTATATCATGTGGGACTAGATAATCTCCATGTTCTATACATAATTACCATGTTTATTTTCATGGGTACTGATGGATATTTTTGGTACAACTTTCTACTCGTAGAAGTAGGATGCAAGTGGATCCACAATTTTTTATGACTACGAATAAATTGTGAAACAAAATTAATTGTAGTTTAGTTAGATACTTACAACAATCTGCATGTATCAACATCTGTAGTTAGGACATTAGATGTTCAACACAGAGAATAGCACCAGTAATTCACAATGAGTGTAATATATATGACTAAATATCTGGGAATGGAAAGTCAGGCACTGAAAATCGGGCTTTAAACAGTACAGGTATTTGATTTTAAAATATATACTTATTAGCTTCTGGAATAAGTTCTGTTCATTTGCCCTTTTTTGTATTATTCCTGTAGTATTTTTACTCGAGCTTGGGAATATAAATATTTGACTCTGCATTTGTAGTTTGGGGGAAAAAAATAAGATAAAGTAAAAACAAATCCCAAACTACTTCTGATCCAGCTGCAGCTGTTGCTTTCCTTATTCTACATCTTCCCCTTGAACTGCCACCAATTCTCAGTGCCTTCGAATTGCTACCCATTCCCTTGCTGCCAAATTGTCACTGATGCCCACCTCTTTGGGCCAAATAAATTTGCTTGGTGGGCTGTAGGTTGCTGAACTCTGCCTTACATAACAGCATCCTCTGTGCTTGTTCCAGAAAATCTGAAGGCTAAGTAACATACATAATACTAATGTCAGTGAGGGTAAGATATTAGCAAGGATCTTGGTTTTCTCTAATAAAAAAAAATTTTGGATATAGAAAAATAAGCCTAAATCCCCATTTTTCCATGATTAAAATGAAATGCTACTAGTGAACTATAGTGGCATTTCATTTTGATCATGAAAAAATGGGGATTTGGGGGTTTTTATATCCAAAAAATTGGGATTTTTTAATATCAGAGCACACCAGGATGCCTGTTGATATCAGTACTGAGAGAGCTGTTGAAACTGACACTTGGAGGGAAGCTGTGGTACAAGTTATGGTGGGTATGATAAGTAGAAGGCGTTGGAGTCTGTACCCAAGAAGCTGCAGCCTGAACCTGAATTGACTCTGGTTCTATGGCAGAATCAAAAAACAGTGCTGATGCAGGTATAGAGGACATCCGTGCCATTGAAGAATGATGCACACATCTCTGCATGGAGAGAGTTAAAATAAGAGTGACAGAACCAGGAAGGGCCTGAGGGAAGTCTGGTTTAATTCAGCCAATACCAGATTTGAAGATTTGATTCATCTTCCCTATCAGAAAGCTTAGATGTCCCATGGGGATTGGCAAATGCACTGGGAAAAGATGATTGACATCTCTCTGTATGCTTTTAGTAGGACTTGTTTTGGTTGCATAGAAGGTGCTCTGTCAGGAAGGTCAGTGGTATTAGATAATGAAGCCACAAGCACTGATTTTGATAAAATTCAATTCCCAGCATTTTTTTTTTTGATATCGAGGAAAGTAGAGTCTGAGTCAGGACACACAGACTGCTCAAGTGAAAAGGCTTTGAGTCCTTTTGGGAAAGGATCTGTTAATATTGGAAGCAATTATGGATGCGAGTGTTTCTGAAGTAAGATTAATATCTTGATTGGCCATCATTCCTGGGCTTGACCATATTGTGAGACAAGAAACCCAGAGATTTATGATTTGATATTTTGAACACCTGGTACCAAATACAAATTTGAAAGAAATAAAGAAATAAAATATAGTTCCTAGCTCAGGAAGAATGAAAAAGAGCTTATCTTAATGCTAATTTTCTAGTTATTGCTAAGTGCACCAAAAAACTAGTACCAACAGGCCATTTACAAACAATACTTTGACAGAGAGCTGCAGAGAAATGGCTCAGCTGATGGTGGTGACAGTGAGAAGGAACTGAGGTGTTCTGAGCTCCTCCACCCTCTGCATCCATTTGGCTGGATGCATGAGAGTGTGAATGGGGCCTGTGGACAAGGTCTACAAGGTTGATTACAGAAAACTGTATCTTGAGCACCCTAGGAAGTTGTGCCCCTAGGAACAATGGCATATGTATACACAGTATCGCTGAAAGAAAAATGGACCTGAATATCTATTGTACATTTGTAGGAGTAGGAAACTGAATAGGAAATTCAACACTCCATTTAGTACTTAGAGAGAAAGGAAGACAAACAATGAGCCTTTAAAACTGAGACTTGTGATAGCTTCATGATATATATTCTTCTACTGTTTTTTAGAAGATGGAGACTGCTATTATTCACAAAAAGAAGTTATGTTATTACTCTCAGTGCCTTCTGCATGTACAACACTGCATAATAGGTGAACTATGCCACAGAAATGATCTTTGCCCCAGTATAAAGTCACAGTTTTTACAATGTAGAACTATACTTGGCAAAACAAACTCAAGCTGATAAAGCACAGTTTAATGGGAATGCCTTATAGAATAAAGAAGCTTTTGAAAAATGTTTGAAGCAAGAGATGGAAAGAGTTTGGTTTAAAGTAACTATGAGGATGTCAGGCAGGATGGTGTTATAAAGAGCACTTTGATAGAAAAAATATGCATTGGCATAACTGCATTAAATTTAATGGAGCCACAACAATTTTCATCAGTAGATGGCCTGGACACTTTTCTTACATTTTAACCAATATAATCAGCCTTTACATTAGTGTGAATAAGGAATGGACAGGTGACCTAAACTCCTGCACAAGTATATATGCCTTAAATCTAGGTAAAATTACCCTGAGAAAAATTAGTATAAAAATATGGTGGTGTTAAGTCAAAGTGGTCTAGGAGTTGTCTGTCTGTTTCAATCTTAGGCTATCCAGTTGCTATAGGTAAATGTTCTATTACATGCTCCCATGCCACCTAATGGCAGAGTGCTTTGATAAAGTCAACTGCAAGCAGCTATGGCCTGATAAATCATATTGGTGTAAATGTATTTGCTATGTAGGTCCATAATACAATATGGGGTGTCAAATAACAACTAGATTTCATAATAATGGTGACTGAATTGTGGTGGTGGGTGAAGCCTCCATGTGGGCATGTGCATATGTCATTATATGTCATTTATAGTATTATTTACACACAAGAGACTTTTACATTTAGATGTTAGTGGGAATTTGCCTGTGGGCCCGAATCAATACATCTACAGTGAGAGTTTAGTCTTATACAGGTCCCAAAACTCTCTGGAAAAACCATGAAATATTGGAAAACCTGTGTTCTGCTTGATGTGAAGAATGGTTTACCTCCTTGGTGCCTGTTAATTCATCTGATATCTTCCATCAGACATTGGAATTCCTCCAAAAGTTACAGAATTGCTGATAAATCTAAATCTGTTCCTAGATTAGCTCTGAAATTCTATTTAATGCAGCCAAATCATATAAATCTAGATATATACTTAATTTCCACAAAATTATATGCTGGTCTGACAGCATATACAAGAAGAGATGTTCATACCATAGACAACTGATTCAAAGACTATTAACATCTGGTTTTCATGGAGATAAGGGGTTAGAAGGTGGCATATATGAAATATACACAGGTGTTTAAAAGCAAGCACATGCCCAGTATATTAGATTTGTCATATGCTGGAAAGGAAAACATTCTGTATTACAGAGTGCATTTCAATCCCTTAATTTCCTACAAATGGTTTTAAAGAATTCCATTCCTATTCTCTGGAGTCTATATACTGTTATTAAAGCTGAGGATATAGTGAAAATAAAAATCCCCAGGAGGAGAACATATGATTGAATCAAAATGGTATGGATTCCAAAACCTTTTTCATGGTGCACATATAGCAAATAGTTCATAGGCTGTTAACTGTAGGGTCTATCATACTGGACAGCTGTAATCTAATGGCTATGGATGAAGTCTGATACCATGAGAGAGCCATATCTTAGGAAGTTATTGATCTGCTGACAAATAAAACTACCTCAATAAGATGATTCTTCTGTCAGTCATAAGAGAACAGTAAGGTTAATTTTCCTGTGACATATGGCTTTCCTGGCTCAGGATTTTAGGAAGTATGGGCTCAGATTTCTCTAGAAGAGATGAAATTTTGAAAGTATAAGTGAATGTAGTTTCATGATTTATCAATTATCATAGAAAATATCTTCCAATGTAAGAATAACTGTATGTAGGACTCAGCAGTGAACTGAGTTTATGCCAAGGAACCATGATGTCATTGGATCTAGGCAGAATATAGGTTTTCCTGGTCAATATGAAAAAAGAAAAAGATGTAGGGAGAAAATTAAATAACAAAGAAAAGGAAACCTAAATATATTTGATAACAAGCAGTTAGTGTGATTTTCCATGAAATATCTTTTAAGAAAAAAAGTCTGCTTCTTTCTTGTTTTAGGGAATAAGTATGCTGCAAGGGCATGCTATAAACCTCCATGGCATATGAGAGTGTATGGTTTGACTCTTAGTGTAGTTGGTGAACTCCAAGATCAACCCCACAGGAATAAGGCTCCATTTTACAATGGGTAGGGTAGTATCCTTAAAATCTTGATAACTTTCATGGGAGTTGAAAGTCACAGAATCTTTCAGGAAATTCAGTGCTTTGCAGGACTTGGCCCCATAGAGTGCTATGTGGTGACAGAGGAGAGGAGAGGGAGTGGCTCAGGGAAAAACAATAACTTTATCTTCTCCCATTCCCTCTTCTCTCTTCTTATTTTCCCAATTACAGTTGCTTCTTTCTGGTAATGAAAAAAGCACTAAATCAGACAGCAATCATGTCAGTGTCTAACTAACATGAATGCACTACTGTTAAATCAATGGGAACTGCCCAGTATTTTGATTCCGAGCAGCTGGCAAGACTATTGACTTCAGATATTCTACCAAGGAGCACAGACAAAGGTAAATAAAAGAAAAAATATCTATTGTTCACTCATGGCTCAACAGTATCTATTGTTGAATTCAAAGATACTTACTAACAATAGGTTCAGAGAAGAAGGTGGTATATTTATATATGCACTGAAAATGGAAAGGAGGAAATATGTACCTTTGACTGTTTATTATGGCACCAAATTCTAGACAAAAACTTCATCAAATTGAAGCTGTAGGACAGAATGATATTTCCCCCGAGTGGCCATTAAAGAAGGTTAAATGGAACGCTTCATTTATTCACCTCCAACATGTTATGCATCAACATGACCTATACCAATCAAAGCATCTTTAGAGGTTAATATAGAGAGTCACAGATGGGGCACAGGCAAAAGTTACTATCTCTGTCAACTGTCTCTTACAGAGCAACCAGAGAAAGTTTGTATCAAATGCAAAGTAATTTACAACATCCCTTGACTTCCTTAAATAAATAGAATCCTTCTCAATGCCATCTGTTTTTGAAGATGGTTATAGAGTTTTTAACAGGTCAGGGGATTTGGAGCAAGCCTGCTGCTCTAACAAGCAAACAAATAATAAGACCCAGCAGCATGGTCAAGTTTTCTCAGATACTGTACAGCAGAGAAAGAGAGAGAGCAAGCAATTTACCTTTGCTTTTGACATTCAGAAGAGGATAGGAAGTGACTTGAACAGTACCTTTGCTGACACCTGCATACTGTTTTCTTGCATGTTCATGATGGCTTCAGAAATCTTGACATCAATAGGATCCATGACTGATTCAATGTTGAACGGTCCCTCTAATCTCTCCGCCACCAGAAGCATAGCATCTGTTAAAACACAAAGGAGCCAGTCCTTTAAAGAAGGGTACCCTCAGTTATATTATGCAACTCAGCTTGTCCTGCCAAAGATGGAAATGCTCTGGACTGGTTCAGTATTCTGCAGATCTGTGACCGAGGGACACAGGAGACTTTAACATAATGAAAACTTTCTCCACAAATCCAATTCCCTTAATTGGCATAACCACAAAAAATACAATAGAGATTGTAAAGTTGTTACATTAATAATAGTTGCCAAGTTAAGTAATTTTTTTGGTATATACTATTATGGCATCTGAAACAGAATTTTTTCTAGACTATACTTGTATAATCTTACCCATCAGAAAAAAACAGGTTGATAGAAATGAACCCTGGAGTATATTTCTGGAGTTTGTACAAGTTGATGAACATGTTGATATGATATATCAGGCTCTTATAATTAAAGCAGCTGTTCGTTCTGACCCTAATGATCCCATTTTCTTGCAATATGAACAGGCAATGAATATTGGATTTCTGCCAGAACAAATAGGCATAAACCATGTTTTCCTCTCTATGTTGTCCACTTTACAATTTAAAAAAACAGTTGAAAGTTGTTTGCAGAAAGATACATTGCTTGTATCATCTGGGATTTTTATAACCTATTTTGCCTAATTATGTGGAAGCCAGTGACAGTGTAATCTTATCTAGTAGGGTTGTTTATTTATTTATTTATTGATAAAAATGAACTACTAGTAAATAAATTAAGCAACAGTAAAATGTTATTCTATAAAACTCAAATATTTATCTATTCATCAATACAGATGCAACACATATATATTTATGAAACCTATGTAATAAACTGTGTTCCAATCTTGTGATGACTTTTTTTACATCTCATTTTACTCTGCCTACCAATCTATTAACCAAGAATGAATTCTAATTTTCCAGATTTCCTAGAAGCTTTAAACAGCTTCCATTCAGTCTATAACAAACAAAAATCCTAGAGCTGTAAAGATAAAACATTGTTTTTTTCTTTTCAAACTGTATAATTTCCTCCATAACTTATTCTGTACTAAGCTTTATACATGGTATTTTTAAAATCCTACTGCATATTTAAGGTCCAAGTCACAGACCTATATGGACATTTAGACACCTAAAAAACCCTTGTACATCTGGGACTAAAATTTTGCATTTGATTAAGTCTATAAGGGTAAGATATCCTATAGCCCAGTGGGATATCTTGCGCGGGTTTTTAACTCAGGGAAGACATAAAATATTAAACATTCAGTTTGCAATATAGAAAACATTATTGTTATTGGGGTGTTTTCTTTTACATTTATTACTTACTGTGTGCATTTTGCCTGAATCCTATATAATTAGATCCCTGCTGGGTGCATTAACATGTGCATTACTACACTTTTTCTAAAGTGCATTAAATTTAGTACCTCTAATGTGAGGTACTAAATAAATACACATCAGGCTACCTTAATGCACAGGACTGAAAATGTATGTTTTTAAGTGACGTTTAATGCGCAGTATCCTATTTGACTAAACATTAGCTTAATTTCACTTTTTTATGTGACGTTTAATGCGCAATAAAACAGGCTACTGTGCATTAAAGTCCACGTGTAGGCCTACCCAGTAAGAAAAGATCCCTGACTTTATTGATAGAATACAAAAAAGCTCCAGTGTATATGTATGTATATATATTTATATTAAAAAATTCCCCAAATAAATTTTCTGAACTGATTATGATGAGTTCAGAAAATATCCTAGAGTGCTATGATTTAAGAGTTGGGGATGGTATGCATACTTTTTTCAGTTGGTTTGTAATTGGTTTGTAAGCTCAACTCTTGCTGATAAATCCTTTATTAGGGTTTTGTTGCATATTTGTGCATGCACATGCATGCACATGCATGCACTTAATAGCTTATTCTGTTCTATAAGCTATGAGGTTCAATATAGAGGAAACTTGAGGCACTGTTACATATTATCCTTGGGCTATACTAAGACCTCTTAATATAGGAGTGTCCTCATGTTATAGCATGAAAATTAGTGCTAAGTGCTAAGTACCCTCTGGGGGTGTGTCCAGCTGAGTGTGCATGTGTGGTATGTGGCGCTGCAAACCATATGCACTGCATACGCAAGTGTTTGCCATGCTGCTAATTTGCAGCATGGCAGGTTTTTTTGATACGATCAATCCTATGGAGAGTCTTCATTCTCTACTGTTTGCATACTGCAGTGCCAAAGCAGTTCAGCTGTGGTCCAGGCTTTGCACTGTCAGCTGAGGGGTAGGATCTCATACTAAATGATATACAAGAAAGAGCTGAGGCAGGAATTTGCCTTGCTTTGTTCCTTCAGTCAAATGATTTTTCTTTTACTTTTGTGGGTGGTATTATTAAAAGAAATGGAGGTTCTCTAAAAGATTTATTTGATTTAAAAATTCCCCAGCACATATATGCATTTCAAGATTAATTGATATTTAGACTTTGTACATTCTCAGGCTGGAAAACAGATAGATTCATAATTTAAACAGACGTGAGTCTGCATGCTATTCCTATGAATTGCATTGAGCCATCATCGTTTTTGATGATCTTTGCACCAAAGATGACGTTTTCTTGTGTATGTTACATTTTCTTCAGTCAGACTTACATACACCTGGTTAATCAGAGATTAATTTTTCTCCTCTTGAAAGAAAATGGTCAAGCCTAAGAACACTGTTTCATGGCATACCTTAGTGATTATCATGGATCCTGGTTTTCTCTGATTTAAAAAAATCCCCAATTTTCAGTTAAAAAAGTAACCCCAAGTCCACATTTTTCCATGATTGAAATGAAACTCCACTATATATCTAGCTATTTATTAGTGGTGTTTCATTTAAATCACAGAAAAATGTGGATTTTGGGTTACTTTTTTTAAACCAAAAATTGTGGATTTTTTTTTAAATCAGAGAAAACCAGGATCCCTGGTGATTATACATTTTTAAAAACTGAACTTGCTGAATTACAGACTGCTAATGAAAATGGTTATGGGTCCCATGGTCCCTCTACTGCTATAGGCTGGGCAAAACGGCAAAGTGCTTGTAGAAAGATATTCTGCTTCTAATGCATTGTTCCTTCCCTAAAGTCCCTAAAGCTGAGAGAGACCTCTGGGCAGTTTGGGTTAGCTAACTTGTGGGGAGGGAGGAGATTAGCTTGGCTGGGCCCTGTACATTTTACTTTGGACATTCGTCTCTGCAGACCCAGAAACTCAGGACAGATTTCTTTCTGAAGATTAGCCTTCTCCTCAAGGGACTTCCAGAAGCAGAGGATGTTTTTGGTTTCTCTGGAACCATGACTTTTTCAGGACGTAGCACAAACTCTAGTGCTTATTTCGGAAGGAAAAGGGTCTGATCCAAAGTCCAGTGAACTTACTGGGTGCCCCAACTGGGCTCTGAATCAGGGTTTCCATTCCCTTCTTAGTCCATGTCAGTTCTTGAACCTCAGTAGAACGGTGCCAGGAAAGCTCTGAGAAAGGCATCTTGTAGTATTATTAATTCCCCAGCACACAGGTTCATTGCTTCTGGTCCTATGAGTATCTTCCTACCCGTTATCTTTAAAGAAATGTTGAGTGTTTGTCCAAATACTGCAGTGTAAGCTAATATAACCAGAAGTGCTGTCTGGAAAATGTCTAAAGCATGTAAGGGTTTGTGTGTGTGTGACTGCAATAGGAGAGCAGGAAAGGCATGTGTAAATAGAATGCTTTTATTGTAAATAAGCCCGACCTTGAGAGTTGCAACTGCAGTTCAGGAAAGGGACACTGCTATAAATATACCGGGTAGCACAGAAATCCTCTTTCATTTCCCTCCTTCCCTGTTAAGGAGAGAGGGAGCTGTATTCGTTATATCATGCAGTTAAGGCTGAAGGGAGTTTTCTGTTATACATATAAATATAAATAATGGTTTTCAAATCATAATAATATTACATTTACACAAAGATGAAAATTGAATTAAAGACACAGCTTTACGTGGAAAAGCAATAAAATCAGACATGCATCCCAGCAACACCCTGCCAAAACCCTTTACCACCAGATTATGATTTACTAATGGAGTTCAAGGAGAGGGGAAAAGCAAAATGCCTCCTCATATTTAATGAGGTGCTAAGAACTCCTTTCTCTGGAAACCAGAATCATGGATGGGAGTCATGCCAAAACTTCTGTTTCTCTGAGGGTACACAGTGCATATTTCAAAGTAGTATTTATATGAAAACAACACATAGCTCTCTGTTGGTGCTTATAAACCCTAATTAACAGATTTTTTCACTGAAGCACGTTTTGTAAAACCAACATGCACAAATTGTAAAGTATAACACATGTATGCTTTAATAATTCCTGTATTGACACAATATGTCCTAGTTCTCAAGTTGCTTTTAGATTTTGCCCTCTTGTTTCACTGAATACTTTATCCTTAATCTCATGTTTCCCCACCAGGCATTCTTCTACTGTCCTCCCCGAGGGCCTCAGTCCACCAGCTGTTATCATAGCACATGCAATGGATTAGGTTTGTCATAAAATGCATTGATGGCTTTCTTTTAAAACAATATAGAGTTGTATTCTTTTAAAATAATACCAGAGAAGCAATGTTCTTCCTGCTGCTGCCTTCCCTTTATACAAGAGCTCAGGATAAGAGCAGTCATCTAAAATATGGGAGACCCATACTTAATTTCTACTTTTGCCTGATGGCATGCAAACCTACATCTTTCTGGAGACCAAGGAATGGTGATAGGGCACTCAGCTGGGACATGGGAGCTCAAGGCCACTTATAGTTAGGGATGTTCCTCCCTTTGAAACTATGCACAGAATATATAAGGATTCATTTGGTGGGAGAGAGCGAGAGAGAGAAAGACAGAAAGGCACTATGATTCTCTGGCCTAGAGGGCACTCATTTCAAATGGGTGGGTCCTGGGTTCCAGCTACTGCCCCAAGGACTGTTTATGTATTTTAATCAAGGATTGTTTAATGTAAAATATCTGAACAATTCTTACAGCAGAGATAGG